ACTCACACACACACACTCACACACACACTGACACACACTGACACACACTCAAACACTCACACACACACTGACACACTCACACACTGACACACTCACACACTGACACATTGACACACACACTCACACGCACACTGACACTCACACACACTCAAATACACTCGCACACTTACACACACTTACACACACACACTGACACACACACTCAAACGCACTCGCACACTTACACACACACTCACAAACACACACTGACACACACACACTCACTCACACACTCTCAAACACACTCACACACTTAAACACACACTCACACACACTAACACACTGACACACACACTCACTCACACTCGCACACTCACACACTCACACTGACACACACACTGACACACTCACACACACTCACACACACTCACACACACACTCACACACACTCAAACACACTTACACATTCACACACACTGACACACACACACTTACACGTGTGTAACAGTAATTGTGGAGGACTGTGTGTGTATGTAAGTGCGTGTGGGTTTGTAATTGTGAGTGTGTGTGAGTGTGACAAGTATATGTGTGTACATGTGTGAGTGTCTGTGTGAGCGCGTGTAAATCTGTGCGTTTGTGTGAGTGTGGTTGTGTAAATGTGTGAGTTTGTGTGTAAATGTGTGAGTGTGTGAATGTGGTTGTGTAAATGTGTGCGTTTGTGTGAGTGTGGTTGTGTAAATGTGTGAGTTTGTGTGTAAATGTGTGAGTGTGTGTGAGTGTGTGTGAGTGTGACGAGTGGGTTGTGTAAATGTGTGAGTGTGTGTGATTGTGAGTGGGACGAGTGTGTGTAAATGTGTGAGTGTCTGGGAGGCTGATCGATGCCCGGGTGCGGTCAAGGGATGGCTCCCTATTGCTCAACCACGTTATGTATGCTGATGATTTGGTAATAGCTGCTCAGTCAGAGGAGGAGTTGGAGACGCTGCTGCTGAGACTGGAGCGTGCCACTAAGAGGTGGGGCCTTACCATCAGCCCCCACCAAAACTAAGCACCTGCCTGGGTATTTTGTACCATCGGACACTCCACCCCCACAACTCCCAATCGGTGATGGGACAGTTGTGGAGAGAGTGGAAAGTTTCCCATACCTGGGCAGTGTGCTTATGACTGGCTCCAGTTTAACAGCAGAGGTCTCACTCCGAATCAGTCGAGCGGCAATATCTTTTCATCGGTTGCGTAACGCTGTGTGGAAGCTACCTGGTCTGTCGCTCCGCACTAAGCTTCAGGTCTTCTCGGCCACGGTCATTCCCTCCCTTCTCTACGCTTGCGAAAACGTGGACCCCCCTAATGGAACATCTTCGCCGGTTAGAAACATTTAGGCTGGCCTGCCTACGATCCATCCTGGGTTTAACCAGACTGGATTGCGTGAGGAGCTCACACATCCTTGAAAGATCTGGGCAAGGTCCATCGGTGAGCTCCTCCGGCGGGCAAGGCTGCGATGGCTGGGTCATGTAGCCCGCATGCCCAGCCACCGCATGCCGAAACAGCTTTGTTTGGCCGGATCGAGGGGGCTAAACGGGCGCGGCACGGACTAGAGAAGAGATGGAGTGATGTGGTACAGGAGGACGTGAAGCTGAGTGGACTTGCCGATGACTGGTACCAGCGGTGTCAAGATCGGCCTCTGGGGAGGAGGCTCGTGAAGGATGCTACTGGGCAGTTGGAGGCAGTCGCCCTCCAACAACAACGGAGGGCGGAGGAGCGACGCTCAGAACAACGAGCGGAGCGCCGGGTGGCTAAAGCACAGCAGGTTGGCACAGTAGGGGGCACAGGGTGGTGCATCAGCCAGTCATCTCAGTCCGTCGACCCGTGGCACCTGGGTCTGCCCCGTGACCTCCTGCCAGCGGGCGTTCGACACTTCACGTGGCCTCAGGGTGAACATAGCCTGGCACAAGCGTCGTGTTGACGTCACCGCCACTTAGTGGCGAATGGTGGTTGTTGTTGTGTCTGTGTGTGTAAATGTGTGTGTGTGTGATTGTGAGTGTCTGTGTGTGTAATTGTGTGAGTGTGTGTGAGTGCGTGTGTGCATGTGTGAGTGTCTGTGTGTGTAAATGTGTGAGTGTGTCAGTGTGTGTGTGGGTAAGTGTGGTGTGGACCTCCTTGGAGAGCTCTTTGGTCTTGGCGATGGTGGAGAGTTTGGAATCTGATTGATTGATTGCTTCAGTGGACAGGTGTCTTTTATACAGGTAACAAGCTGAGATTAGGATCACACTCCCTTTAAGAGTGTGCTCCTAAATCTCAGCTCGTTACCACGTGTCCTTTTATACAGGTGACAAGCTGAGATTAGGAGCACTCCCTTTAAGAGTGTGCTCCTAATCTCAGCTCGTTAGCAGGTGTCTTTTATACAGGTGACAAGCTGAGATTAGGAGCACTCCCTTTAAGAGTGTGCTCCTAATCTCAGCTCGTTAGCAGGTGTCTTTTATACAGGTAACAAGCTGAGATTAGGATCACACTCCCTTTAAGAGTGTGCTCCTAATCTCAGCTCATTACCAGGTGTCAGAAATCTTTCTGATTGAGAGGGGGTCAAATACTTATTTCCCTAATTAAAATTAAAATCAATTTATAAAATTTTTGACATGCGTTTTTCTGGATTTTTGTTGTTGTTATCCTGTCTCTCGCTGTTCAAATAAACCTACCATTAAAATTATAGACTGATCAATTCTTCGTCAGTGGGCAAACGTACAAAATCAGCAGGGGATCAAATACTTGTTTCCCTCACTGTAAGTGTGTGTGAGTGTGTGTAAGTGTGTGTAGGTGTGTCAGTGTGTGTGTAAGGGAAGTGTTTCTGTGGTCTGGATGGATGAGTGTGCATTTGCACGCACAGTGCACTTGAGTGTGTCAGCGTGTGAGTCTGTGTGAGTCTGTGTGTGTGTGAGAGTCTGTGTGAGTGTGTGTGAGTCTGTGTGAGTCTGTGTGTGAGTCTGTGTGAGTCTGTGTGAGTGTGTCAGCATGTGAGTCTGTGTGAGTGTGTGAGTCTGTGTGTGTGTGTGAGTCTGTGTGAGTGTGTGTGTGTGAGTCTGTGTGAGTCTGTGTGAGTGCGTGAGTCTGTGTGAGTGTGTGAGTCTGTGTGACTCTGTGTGAGTCTGTGAGTCTGTGTGAGTGTGTGAGTCTGTGTGTGTGTGAGAGTCTGTGTGACTCTGTGTGAGTCTGTGTGAGTGTGTGACTCTATCAGTGTGAGTCTGTGTGAGTGTGTGAGTCTGTGTGTGTGAGTCTGTGTGAGTCTGTGTGAGTGTGTCAGCGTGTGAGTCTGTGTGAGTCTGTGTGTGTGTGAGAGTCTGTGTGTGAGTCTGTGTGTGTGTGAGAGTCTGTGTGTGAGTCTGTGTGAGTCTGTGTGTGTGTGAGAGTCTGTGTGTGTCTGTGTGAGTGTGTGTGTGAGTCTGTGTGTGTGTGTGAGTCTGTGTGTGAGTCTGTGTGTGTGTGAGAGTCTGTGTGTGAGTCTGTGTGAGTCTGTGTGAGTGTGTCAGCGTGTGAGTCTGTGAGTGTGTGAGTCTGTGTGTGTGTGAGTCTGTGTGAGTCTGTGAGTGTGTCAGCGTGTGAGTCTGTGTGAGTCTGTGTGAGTGTCTGTGTGAGTCTGTGTGAGTGTGTGAGTCTGTGTGAGTCTGTGTGAGTCTGTGTGTGTGAGAGTCTGTGTGACTCTGTGTGAGTCTGTGTGTGTGTGTGAGTCTGTGAGTGTGTGAGTCTGTGTGACTCTGTGTGAGTCTGTGTGAGTGTGTCAGCGTGTGAGTCTGTGTGAGTGTGTGAGTCTGTGTGTGTGTGTGAGTCTGTGTGAGTGTGTGAGTCTGTGTGTGTGTGAGTCTGTGTGAGTGCGTGAGTCTGTGTGAGTGTGTGAGTCTGTTTGACTGTGTGAGTCTGTGTGAGTGTGTGAGTCTGTGTGAGTGTGTGAGTCTGTGTGAGTCTGTGTGAGTGTGTGCGTGTGTGTGAGTCTGTGTGAGTCTGTGTGATTCTGTGTGAGTCTGTGTGAGTGTGTGACTCTGTATGAGTGTGAATCTGTGTGAGTCTGTGTGAGTGTGTGAGTCTGTATGTGCGTGTGAGTCTGTGTGAGTGTTTGAGTCTGTGTGAGTGTGTGCGTCTGTATGAGTGTGTGAGTCTGTGAGTGTGTGTGAGTGTGTGTGAGTGTGTGAGTCTGTATGAGTGTGTGAGTGTGTGTGAGTCTGTGTGTGAGTCTGTGAGTGTGTGAGTCTGTGAGTGTGTGTGAGTCTGTGTGAGTGTGTGAGTCTGTGTGAGTCTGTGAGTGAGTGAGTCTGTTTGTAAGTGTGAGTCTGTGAGTCTGTGAGTGTGTGTGTATGTGAGTGAGTGTGTGAGTGAGTGTATGTGAGTGTATGTATGTATGTGAGTTAGTGTGTGAGTGAGTGTATGTATGTATGTGAGTGAGTGAGTGTGAGTGAGTGTATATGTATGTATGTGAGTGAGTGTGAGTGAGTGTATGTGAGTGAGTGTGAGTGAGTGTATGTGA